AGCTGTCATAAGCGAAAGAACAACATCATTCAAAAACACTTACTCTCGCTGTAAGGAAAAACGCTTCTTTAGATGGGACCAAGTTGCCCCGTAAATACCGACGATGACGAAATGAAGGTAAGGATGGAAAGAACCTATGTGGGGAAGGAAGGGGCGGGGGGGGGGGGGGGGGGGGGGGGGGGGGGGGGTATAATTTCGGACATCCGTTAAACTGGAGTGTGATACGGAGAAGATCATTCCCTGCGCAAGAAAAAAAAACGAAGAAAAAGAGGGAAAAACAACCCACATTGGTTGAATGCAAAAATGGCAGGTGGGTGGGTGGGTGGGTGGGTAAGGAAGGAGGTAGCATAGCTGACGAAAACGGACGACCATCACAAATGATGCTGCAATCAGACTTCCTCAATAACTTCAACCAGCCCAGATCCAAGGGCACACAAGGACATCAGGCAGAATTCTTATCTAATTATGCGATATCCACTTGTGTTTCGTCCTTCTTTTTTTTGAACCCTCTGCTACCTTACAGAGTGGACGGCGAAGTCGTAAATATAACCTATACCACATTCTTTGGAGGCTGGCGAAGGCCGGGTGCTACCAGAAAACAAAACAAAAAACGCTACGCTGGCGCTTCAGCCAAAGCTTGGCGCGCAGTTCCACTCCGCCTCGGGAAAAAGAGGCTCGGAGCCAGTGGTATCGGTCTAACACCAACACAACCCCTTCTATTACGGGAGGGGCACGCTTGTGTTTCTTCTATACCATAGTGTTATGGGGTATCGGTTTCTTTTCGTCATATCGGCTGCATACGCGTGTGTCGATCTTTGAGAGTAGCCCTGTCAGCTCATCTCAAGCCACCTCGCAACTGTGCCTTTCCAAAATGGCCTGCCACTCTCTCTACCGGCCCAGGCCCAAATCAAAACGCTCCCTACTCTGTTTCAGGTAAACCGGCAGTTTAAACCACTGCAGTACTTGCTAAAGTCGTGCCCGTTAACGCGCCACGATTTTAGGAAACGTACGTGACACTACAGGAACGCCCAAATTCATCCAACTACAAACGTTTCTACTCTATTTTTTTCCGCGGCCGACAGCTGGGCCAAGTACTGGTGGTTTAAACCACCAATATTTGTTTGTTGGTTGTTCGCTGAACCGCCAGCGACATACTTCTTTTCTTCCTTGAGTCACAATGCCTAGCCATTGTGGTTTAGGGTTGCCCCAAGCCTCCAAAATTTCAGGAGTTGGTGACAGAGAAATCTCGCAAGGCTGGGGCCAGGTACTGGCAGTTTAGTGTCCAACTGCATCAGTCGATGACATGTACTAGCACATCATGACACATCATCACACACACACACACACACATTCACATCGTTCATTTGTTGGTTGGTTGTCTACCTGTTTCTTACTTGTTTTCTTGTGCTTGTACTTCTCTTGCTTTTCTTTGTGTGCTTTGTGCCCTTTGCATGACATTTTTTGCGATCCTTCCATGGCTATACCTGGCTGCAGGTTCTTTCTTCCGAGTGTTGTTATGGAGGGTTCAGCCTCCTGACGGGTTGGTGCAAGTCCGGAGAAACAGTCTGTCATCATCAGTTTTGTATTTGTCTTCCTCAGTCTTGTGCTTTTGTTGCTATTTTATGTTGTGCTTTTTGAATGACATTGTTTGCGCTCCTTTCATGGGCATACCTGCCCGCAGGCTCTTTCAAGTATTTGTCGTGCTGTTCGATGCAACATGCCGAGCTGCTAGCAGAGAGGTCTTATCCCCCCAAAGACACACCCACACCCACACCGACACCCACACCCACACCCACACCCCCACGGGCATCTCAACGGGCATGTTACTACTCTCAGGGATTCTGACAGGCGCGACGACAGTGTGAGAGAACGAGTCACGATGTACCTGTGCCTGTGCCTTTGTGTGTGTGTGTGTGTGTGTGTGTGCGTGTGTGCGTGTGTGCGTGTGTTTTAAATTTTCCCCACAATCGCCCCAATTCCACCCAGATGAGTAGATACAGAATCAAAGCAGCTTTTGTCCTTGTGCAAACCATGAGAGCACTTGACTGTGTGCGTTATGTGTGTTGTCCTGTTCACTATACACAACTCCACAAAAGCGCATGATTATGCCAGATGGTTTGGTCAGACTTTCCCCTACTCGTCAGGAGGTTGAAACCCGACTGTCTGATGTTTAGGGACGCTGGACCCGGTTTCCAGCAGGTGCTGCTCCCACCAATAGATGAAGCCTCCCGGAGTGTGTTAGTGGTGTCTGCTCTTATCAGCACCGCTAACATCGCCTCGGGCCGTGTTTTGTTAAAAAAAAAAAAACCCGACTGTCTGCCCAGGATGCATTTGACTGATGGATAAGGACTCACCACATCGCCCAGAGTTCGCGACACCCCTGAGAGAGAAAAGTGGCCGACTTTACTCAGACTGCATGTGTTGTCTGTGTGTGTGTGTGTGTGTGTGTGTGTGTGTGTGTGTGTGTGAGAGACTTTACTCAGACTGCATGTGTTGTGTGTGTGTGTGTGTGTG